TTATACTACACTGGACATCCTTCCTGCCCCTGACGGGGCGGTTCGGATGTCTCTTCCTATGGAGTCTGTTGAGGCCTTCATTAAATCTATCACTTCAGGACTTGCAGCTGTAGACCCAAAAGCCCCGATGAATACTGAGGATCAGATTGAGACTGCGGCTCAAGAAGTGGCACGGATTTTCTCAGAAGCATGGTCTGCCCATGCCAAAGAGACCTCTATCACTAAGCGTTCGAAGCCCTGGTGGTCCCAGGAGTGCTCTGATGCCCTGCTCAAATTTCGCGGGGATCGCTCCCCCGAGAATTGGAAATCCTTTCGGAAACTAGTCCGGGAAACGAAATGTGTTTTCTTGATGATCGCATCAGAGAGATCGCGGGTACTAATAAGCGACCGTGGGACCTCATGAATTGGGTCCAGCAACGGAAGCTCCCTCCTAATGAGGCCATCCAGTATCGTGGAGAGCCTTGCAATGATCTGCCTGCCTTGTGGGATGCCCTACATGGCACGTACAACTCGGCATCAGATAGAACATACGATGCTGCTCTCTTGGAGTCCATCCCACAACTTCCCGTTCGGAAGTGGGCTCCTTTTTCCCTGCTGGAACTCACGGAAGCTCTTTCTGCGTGTTCCGGTCTTTCTTCTCTGGGTCCGGATCATGACAACTGGTCCCACCTGAAGAAGATTGTACATTGGGACCCTCATTCTGTGGAGGTCCTCATCTCGATTGCTAATGCCTGCATGCATGTGGGTTATTGGCCGTCCCCATTTAAGGAATCTATGTCGGTTATTATCCCCAAACCTGGCAAGCCCTCGTACTCCACCCCTAAGGCGTTCAGGCCCATTGTGCTTCTGAACACTGTGGGGAAACTCATCGAGAAAATGATCTCGAATCACATTCAGTTCGACGCTGTTGGACAGGATATATTTCACCCGAATCAGGTTGGAGGCGTCAGGGGACGCTCCACTGAGGACGCGGGTCTGTTTTTGACGCACATGGTGAGGGCTGGGTGGGCAAAAGGGTTGAGGACTAGTGTCCTTGCCTTTGACCTTGCTCAGTTCTTTCCTTCCCTTAACCATGAGGTTCTCGTGATCATTCTCCGGAAGCTTGGCTTTCCGCCTCTGGTGGTCAAGTTTTTCAGTTCTTATTTGGTAGAAAGGAAGACGCAGTATGTGTGGAACTCCTTCTTGTCAGATCCTCTGCAAGCAGATGTGGGCGTGGGACAGGGCAGAGCCCTGTCCCCTGTCTTATCAGCTATTTATTTGGCGCCCATTCATGCGCCTTTTCTACAAGAGGTGCCGTGAGATTCATCTTGTGGTCGACCTTCTGTTATATGTGGATGATGGTACCCTGATTTCTCAGGAGACCGGACTTGATCCCAATGTTGTAAACCTTCGCAAGGCCTACAAGATTATATTTGAGCTCTTTACCAAGTTCGCTCTTGCTCTGGAGCACGCGAAGTCAGAGATCTTTCACTTCGATAACACGGCTTCAGTCTATAATCCTGCCATTGACTTGGGTGAAGAACCCTACACTGCAGGCAAATGGCTCAAGCCGAAACCATTTTGGCGGTATCTTGGGTTCTACTTTGATTGCAAGCTCACTTTCAAGGAGCATGTGAGATACTATTCCACCAAAGGATTTACATCGGTCATTTCGATGAAAATGCTTGGGTCTTCTACCAGAGGGCTGCCGCCGCATCTTAAGCGCCTCTTCTATCGCACGTGTGTTATACCCATAATTACTTATGGTTACCGCATGTGGTATTTCCGTAAGGCCCGCAACAAGGGGCTCATTGCGCAACTTACCAATGTCCAGCGTAAAGCTGGGCTTTGGATCACTGGGTGCTTCTGTTAAAACTGCCTACACATGTCTCCAAGTTATCTTATCTTATCTTATCTTATCTCTTATCTTATCTCTTATCTGCACTTCCTCCTTTTCACTTGTTGTGCATTTGTAGATTAGATTCTTATCAAGTTCTAGATCATCTCCAGATCATCTCCAGATACTTTCTAGATCCTTTCTATTTTGTATATAAAGTCTTTTGACATTTGCCAGAAGTCCTTAGTTACTCACTCAGGACTTCAGGCAAGTAGTTACTATTTTGCCCAATACAATTAGTTACTCACTCTGGACTTCAGCTCACTGTAGCTCCTGTGTCCCTCGCTTCGAGTTGCTCATATTAGGCGCACAGCTGCGTCACATGTTCCCACACTTGCCACCTTTAACAGCGAGACCGCTCCCATACCAGATGCGGCTGCCTTTGGAAGAGGTGCCTTGGGCCTGTACAAGTTTGCGCCACTGCTCGCGCAAGAGGTTGTAAGCGGCAAGATGACATTTGAGCAGTCGGAAGAACATATTATCATCCACCCATTTATGAAGCGGACCCATACCGCGGGCACAAAATAGATCACCTCCAGTATCACCAATGGCACCTTCGGATCCGATGGGGCCGTCGTCTGCGAAGAAGCAGAAGACTACCCCATCGTTTACTTCATCTGGACCTACTCGCAAGCAGGTCCTGATCCAATACTCTGGCCCTGGGGAGTGCCCCAAGGACAGTAAACTCGTCGAGCTTCACGACAAGATCAACAAAGGACTCCGAGGGTATATCCCTCGCTACCTCTGGTGTGGCCAACGAGGCCGACCTCAACATCATCCGTGGATTCGTCCATGTTATCACCCCCAAATCCGACACTCTTGATGTGTGGGTTGGGCTCCCCACCTCGAAGTCTTATCTTAAGGCTTTCAATTTACCGGCCTTTAGTGACTACGTCACCAGGGTCCCTACCACCGGCACGGAGGTGAAGATGGCGATGCTCGCCTCCCCTCTGTCCATGGATATCATGCTCGCGGGTCCCCCTCGCGTCATCCGCAACTCGAAGGCGAGCTCTACCGCCCACGCCTTCTTCGAAATATACGACTCGCAATCGGGTCAACGTGCGAAGCGTCTTATCAACAAGACCTTCATGTTCCGTGGTAGGGTGATCCTCATTCGCCCAACCACAGTCAGCGCCGGCGTCCCCCTCTGCACTTGTTGCTGGAGGTGGGGCCACCCGAAGAATTCCTGCAAAGCACGCCAGCCGATCTGCGCTCGCTGCTCTGGCCCGCATGAGGCGGAGGTGCATCGCATCGCTGCCTCGTGCTGCAAACCTCATCCAGAGGCCAAGCCCCCGACCAAAGGCACTCCCACTGGACAGGACTGCCCCCACACTGCGCGGTGCCCCTCGTGCCACAAAGATCATTGGGCCTCTTCGAGCCATTGCTCGTTTTGGTGACACCGCTTCGACCATCCTTGGATCGAGGCTAAATATGCTGAGGTACGTGATTTTTGGTTAAATTGTCATCCCACCCATCGCTCACATAACGTAGCTTAATGCCAGTACAACCAATGCTGGATGAGGTGCGGGTGCTGAGCTGGAACGTGGCCAGGGACGGGATGTCCCTGGATGTAATTCTATCTACTTGTAACAACATTTATGATATTATATTCGTTCAAGAACCCCCTTGGCGACACATAAGGACCGCCCCGTCTGCTAAAACCAGAAAGGGCGAGGATGTCATAGGCGCACTGAACCACCCAGATTGGCTGGCAATGGTCCGTGCGCCCACCACTGTTGACGAGCGACCCCGGGTCATGACCTACGTCTCGACTAGGTTGGCCCGGTATCGTCCGTCTATACGAAGGGATGTGATTGATCACCCCGATATACAGGTCCTGTCACTCTCAACAAGTGCCGAGACCTTCTTTTTGATGAATGTCTATTCTGACGCAGATCATGGGGCCATTAATTGGCTCAAGAACCATGACACTACACTCCCTCGCTTCCATTTCATGGGCGGGGACTTTAACGCACACTCCGAGGACTGGGACGAAGGTCACAGTGGTCGGGAGGGATGCGCTATCTCATTGCAGCAGTCCGCTGCTATTCTTGGGCTTGAACTGGCTGCTTTTGGCAACCCAGGGCCCACACACATACCAAGAGATCCCACCAAGTGCAAAACGGTGATCGATCTGGCTTTCGTCCCACCCAACCAGGTGATCGACCAAACCACTGTCCGATGCCCGGACATTCAGCTCAAATCGGACCACATTCCGATTTCGACCACACTGGACATCTCTCCCGCCCCTGACGGGGCAGTTCGAATGTCTCTTCCTACTGATGATGTTCCGGCATTCATCAATTCTATTAGCTCGGGGCTTCGGGCTGTCGACCCGACTGCCCCTCTTAACACCGAGGAACAGATCGAGGCTGCTGCGCAAGCGGTGGCTTTGGTCTTCTCTTCTGCATGGGAGTCCCATGCTAAAGAGTCCTTTGTTACCCGGCGATCTAAGCCCTGGTGGACCCAGGAGTGCTCCGATGCCCTTGACACGTTCCGGCACAGTCGCCTGCCCGAGGACTGGAAATCCTTTCGGAAAACCATCCGAGATATCAAGCGCGAGTTCTTTGATCATCGGATCCATGAAATCGCGTCTGCTAACAAGCGCCCGTGGGACCTCATGAACTGGGTTCAACAGCGCAAACTTCCTCCCTGTGAGGCTCTCCATTATCATGGCGAGCCTTGCAACGACATGCCCGCCCTTTGGGACGTGCTCCACAGTACCTACAACTCTGCGTCTGACAGAGTGTTTGATGCCAATTTGTTGAACTCTCTCCCTACGCTTCCGAGGTCTTTACCCTGCCCCACATATTCCTGGTGGAGTCCAGTGGAGTCCGGCCGGATTCCCGGAGTCCATCTGGAGTCCAGTCAGATTTTTTTTTGGTGGCAGCACAGCCAAATTATTATTCTAAATCCACCCAGAGTCCACCCGGAGTCCAGCAGAACTCCGAATGGACCACCTGGACCACCCGGATTACTCCGGGTGGACATAGTAAGACCGCAATTTACTAATTTCCATCCGGAGTCCAGCCGGAATGCACGGAATCCGGGCGGACAACTACCAATTTCAATTATTCTTTATATATTGATTATTTAATTGATTATTTACGGGGCCAAAAATAAAGACCACCGCCGGGAATCGAACACTGGACTTACAGTACAAACGTAACGCTACAATAATCCACTAAGCTATGAAGGCTTTATGAACGTACAAATATTTAGCAACATATACCCATCGCACTCGGCATGCTCGGCATGCTCGGCACTATGCGTGGCACCGTGCACATTGCCACATCCGCTTTTCTCCCTCCCACCACCATCCCCATCCCCACTACCACCCACTACCGCCCCCCACCGTCATCTTGCAGCGTCGACGTCGCTGTGCGCACCCCCTGAATGGTGTGCAACACCCGCTCTGGCGCCCTGCGCCCTGCTCCCTCCACCGCGTCGACCCCGGACACCCGCCATTTCGCCCACACAACATCCGCTACCCCGGCTCACCGCCGCCCCTCACGAAGGCACCACAGCGGCCACGAGGAGGCCCGAGAATGCACGCCGATGAGCCACGATGGCTCGTCGTAGCCATCACACGTCGCATGCAAACCGGACGGCCCACGAACGCGACGAACGCGAGGAGGAAGAGCGGGAGGAGGAAGAGCGCGAGGATGACGGGAGAGGTGGCATATACCGCAGGGCTACGCAGGCCACTAGGTACGTGGCAAATGATGCCACACGAGGTCGCTAACCCACCCTCCCCTCTTTGCAGATGCCGGGGCTAGAGGCCGTCGCCTCGCCCCGTGGGTACGCAATTCCCCACCACACCACCGACGACAGCCCCCGAACGCTAGCGGCTGCAAACGAGCACGCCACAGGAGCAGCCGCCCTGCTCGCCGTGCCTCACTGCCAACCCAAAACACGACGCCGACGCCGCGGGAGCTCGCGACGACGAAGACGACGGTCACCGGGTACGCGCAGGCCACCGCTCCCCTCCCGTTAACCGACTAACCCCCCACACTCCCCTTTCCCAAGCAGGTGACGACACCGCGGGTACCAGAACCTGCCGCGAGCTACAAATGGCCACGAAACGCGAACCTGACAACCGACGCCGGCGACACCACCATCCCCCTCCTGTGCCCACCAGGCCCGATCGACCTCGGCTTCGACGACACCTCACCACCACCCATTACCGCGAACCCACGATGGCCACGATGAACCTGACGACCCCACGATAGCCACAACGACCCCAAGACAGCCCCGACGACCGCGCGCGGCCGGTAAGCTACCACCGCCCCATCTTTTCTGTTCTCCATGTCGCAGCTAACCCACCACTAATATGACAATGACGACGAGGGGGGTGCAGGCTGCAGCTGCTCGTATATGCCGTGTCCAGTGCCTCCTCCCTCGCCCTTGTTTTGCTACCCTATCTGTATATTAGTTTATTTTGTATTAGTTTATTTTTAATATACTTAATTATTAATATACTTAATTATCAAATGTAACTATTAGTGAATACCTAAGTATGCAAGGATATTTCAAGTATTGAAATTTTGACATCTTGAATGTGGAATCCACCTGGACTCCACCTGGAATAATAACTCAAATACATTTTCTTATCAGAGTCCATCCTAAATGCAATCCACCTGGAGTCCGCCTGGAGTCTAGATGGACTCCAGGTGGACTCCAGGCAGACTCCAGGCAGACTCCAGGTGGATTAAGTAGAAATACCCAAGTTTAATTGTAGTCAGGTGGACTCCAGGTGGAGTCCACCTGGAGTCCACTGGAATCACCTGGAGTCCCCGGAGTCCACCTGGAATCCATGGGGCAGGGTAAAGTACTGACGCTTCCTGTTAGGGAGTGGGTTCGCTTTTCTGCACTGGAACTCACGGAGGCTCTCTCTGCGTGTTCTGGTCTATCCGCTCTGGGTCCAGATCATGTCAATTGGTCCCACCTGAAGGGGATAGTACGTCGCGACCCTCATTCCATTGAGGTCCTACTCTCGATTGCCAATGCCTGCATGCGTGTGGGCTATTGGCCATCTGTATTTAAGAATTCTCTTTCAGTGATTATACCCAAGCCGAATAAGCCATCCTACTCTGCACCTAAGGCATTCAGGCCTATTGTCCTCCTGAATACTGTTGGTAAATTAATTGAGAAAATGATCTCAAACCGCATTCAGTTCGACGCTGTCGGGCTGGACATTTTCCATCCTAACCAGGTGGGTGGAGTGCGTCAACGCTCCACTGAGGATGCTGGGCTCTTCCTCACGCATATTGTGCGTGCGGGGTGGGCTAAGGGTTTGAAGACTAGCGTGGTTGCCTTTGATCTCGCTCAGTTTTTCCCTTCACTCAATCATGACGCGCTCGTGATCATTCTTCAGAAACTTGGCTTCCCCCCATTGGTGGTCAAGTTTTTCGCATCTTATCTAGTAGAAAGGAAGATGTGGTATGCGTGGAATTCCTTTCTATCAGACCTGTTACAGGCAGACGTGGGGGTGGGCCAGGGATCGGCCTTGTCCCCTGTCTTGTCGGCTATCTACCTGGCGCCTGTTATGCGCCTATTCGAGAAGCAGTGCCTCGACCTTGGGTTGAGGGTTGACCTCCTCTCGTATGTTGATGATGGCACACTCATCGTGCAAGATGAGTGGCTGGATAATACCATGGTTGTTGGCGTGAAACAACCTATGGTTTTAGGGGGTGTTTTCCGGTATGGGTTCGGTGTCTAGGAACTCATCCGTCATCCTCGCTTCGGCTTCAGTGATGTCGATGTCTTCGTATGTCGTATCTTCAGTCTCTCGTGGGTATAGTGTGTCTAGTAGGGTACCTCTTAATGGAATATAGTGTCGCATGTGTCTAGAATGGGTAATGCCCTTTAGTGGCATTCCGTTCATAGTACATAGTGAGAAGGAATTAGAAAACTCAGCGAATATGATACGTGGTTCTGACCACTTGGGGGTTAATTTGTTAATTGATTTGTGATTGAAGTCTGAGGCAGAGTCGTAGACTTGAACTAGGTCTCCGATTTTGAACTTCATGATGGGCGAATTCGCGTCGAATGTTTCTTTGCGGCGGTCGGCATCGTGTAATGAGGCTAGGTGGGCATTGGCGTGGAAGGTCTCTCCGAGTGTAAAGTTGGTGTGCGTGTCGGCAGGTGTTGTCGGGTTGGGAGTCAGCGGGAGTGAGTCGTCATTGCGGAAGGGTAGTGCGAATAGGAGTTCACGGGGGGTAGCGTTAAGGGCGGGGGTGATTCTGTCGTTGAGTTGTCGGATGGCTTCCTCGAAATGTTCTGGCCAGTTTGTTGGGATGGACTTGGCATCCGCTGTTGGGTCGTCTTCGTCTTCATCGTGGTTTGGTGCGCAGAGCCTCTTGAGTCATCCGAGTAGTAGTCGGTTGGCGTTCTCGATCAGGCCGTTGACCCATGGTGCGTATGCGGGTGTTGTAATGTGGTGTATGCCCTCCTCATCGCAGAAGGTGTCTACCTCGTTGTTGTCGAAATGAGATCCTCCGTCGGCCATGAATGTATTCGGGATAGCGTATCTGTTGCATATGTTCTTCAGCGAGTTGATGGTTGATTTCCCGGTGCCGCTCTGTTTGAGTTTCGTGCCCCATATGAAACCGGAGTACGTGTCGATGTACAAGCCAACTGTTTTGTAGCCGCCTTTCCCTAAGGGTAAGGAGAGGTAGTCCCCTGCTATCAGTTGGAATGGGCGGGTCCGTCGTATTGGTTGTAAGGCTGAATTCCTCGTGGGTGCGCCAAAGGATTTGCATCTTGGGCATTCTAGCTGGGCCTGTCTGCAGTCGGTTAGCATTCCTGGCCAAAAGTACTTATCTCGTAGGTGTAATTGGACATGTTCCGGTCCAAAGCATCCGTTGTCGATGTGGGTTGTCAATGCGACGTTGAAGCCCAGTTCCGTTGGGATGCATTCTGTCCTCGCTACTTGGTCGCTCGCCTTGGTGCTAACTTTCCATAGTTTGTTGTCTGCGATCATGAAGTCCTTTGCGTGGTGTGCTGCCTTCCGTTTGTCTGATGGTGTGTTGCCTGCCGTTTTTCCGAGGAGATGATGGACGATAGGACTGAAGAAGATGTCGTTGGTGAATAGAGTCTCGAGCAGGTGATGTAAGATGTTCTGGGTGTCCGAAATGTTGAGAATGTCGTTAGTGATGCCGTGGTTCGCTTCCCAGTCTGCGAGGACTGTGTAGTGTGATCCGTCTGAGTTGGACCGTGGTCGTCCTTCCCACATACGGCTGAGGCCATCAGCTACTGGATTTTCTATGCCCGGTCGGTGTCGGATCGCTATAATGTTATGTGCCAGTATTGATTCCTTCCATCGGCTATGGTGTACACTCATCTTTTCCTGTACTAGGCAGTCGTGTAGAGCTTGACAGTCTGTTTCGATTTCGATTGGTGCTCCGTATATGTAAGGTGCGAATTCGTCTAGGCTGTATTTGAGTGCCGCAAACTCTAGTAGGAATGGTTCGTACTTAGCTTCGCTTTTTGATGTGCGTTTTGAGCAGAAGCTGATGGGATGCCAGCGTGTGGTTTCTTTGCCGTCGGTTCCCGTCGTTGTGAAGGCTTGTGATATGAAGCCAGCGAACCCGTTCATACATCCGTCCGTTGTGACGCAGAAAGGTCGACCGTCGTATTGTGGGGTTCTGAGTAATGGTTCTTGTGATAGAAGGCATTTCAACGTGACGAATGCTTTCTGTTGTTCTTGGCCCCATTTGTCTTTCAGCGACGTTGATGCGACTGCCCTCTTGTAGGCCCCTTTCCGTGTTCTCCAGTTGCCGCTTGGTTGTTCGATCTTCACGTCGCGAGTCAGGTCAGATAGTGGTGCTGCTATTCGTGCATAATTAGTAATTAATCTTCGGAAATAGTTTGTTAGACCTAGGAACCCCATGAGCTGCTGGACCGTCTCCGGTACCGGCCAGTTCACGACGGCTCCTACCTTATCCAGATTCGGTCTGATGCCTTGAGGTCCGACCATTGCGCCGGCGAAGAGGACTTCCGTGAAAAAGAGCTTCGTCTTTGTTGGTGACAATGAGAGGTTCTTGGAGCGGCAGCGGTCAAAGAAGTGTTTGAGGTTCAGAAATTTGGTTTCAAAGACATCACCTGGCATGCATATGTCGTCCATCCAGTTCACGAGCTCCCTTCCTATCATGTCGTCTAAGGCGATTGCTACCATCTCGCAGAAGGTTGTTGGTG